TAGTTTTTAAACAAGGTTTGGAATTCCAAGTACAGAGACCTCAGCCTGTTTAGTTCCATGGGAAGCACACAATTATTTTTTTAACTCTTTAATAAAGATACAGACAAAGAAGGAAAAACAGTTAAAACATTTGAAATGTAAAATATGAAGTAAGGCTTTCCATTGTAACAGTATCCCTTATTCCCTTTCCCTTTGGCCTCAGAGAGTCTTTAGAAGGAAAACCTCTTGTCTGACAGGCTCTTAGATGGTGTCAAAGATGATAGTAACTGTCCTTTGGGGGGGAGGGAAGTTAGTTGAGTTAGGCTGGAGCTGTTGATAAAGTCTGATCCTGTTTCCTAAATGACAAAACAAGACAAACACGCACAAAAAGAAAAGAACACAAAGATAGAAACTGCAGCTTATGTTTCTGGTGTTGATTCTTACATGCAACCTCACTGCTGAAAATACAGAATCACAGCACATGGTCTTATCAGCCACTCAGAGATCTGGCATATTTATACCAGCATTAGACTGTATAGGTAGGGTTGCCAGTTTTGGTTGGATGTATTCCTGGAGATTTTATCACATGATATAATCTTTAATTAAAGATTAATTTTTAATTCCTGGAGACTCCAGGCCAATCCTGAAGAGTTGGCAACCTTATGTATAAAGCATTGTTTTTAGCTGTCTCTCTGGTCACAGGCTTATATCAGTATTGCAAAATACAGTCTCAGTCAGCTAAACTAGATTCTTAATACAGAAGGCAAAAGGAAAGTAGGAAAGGATAGAAAAGAGAAGAAATACAGTGGGGAAGGAAGAGGACATATAGAGGATTGGAGGGAAGTGTGTATATGAGGTGGGGGGGAAGTCTCGCGTTCCAGGTGATGTTTGGGATTTAGCCAGAGCCATTGGAGGAGGAGATGTCATCCGTGTTCTTCTCTCTGGCCTAGTTCGGGCAGGATATTTCTCAGGATCAGCAAAACAAAGGCCCAACAGTGTCATAGTGATCCCTGAGTCTCAGAAGACAGTGGGGTTGGCAGCCATGATGGTGAAGTTTGCTCCTTTCAGTCCACCTGTCTCCCATCTGGCAGTTGTTGGTCAGACAACATGATTTTCCTACCAGAAGCTTTTCTTTTAAGGATCCCAAAAGGAAGTGATGGATGGACTGGCGCATCTGCTCATTATTTTGTCCACCAAGTAGGCCTAATTTCTGATACACCAATTTCAGTCTATTGATTTCCGGTTCCACACTTCTCTTGTTACCAGACATGATCTTTACGCAGTCATTGAGCTATATCAGTAGGCCTTTTTGTTTGGATTAACCCAATCTTTCTGCCTCCCCTTTTCACCTTTCCCCAAAAACATTTACATTATAGGTTAATGTGATATTTTATGATCTTTCATTCACATCTCACTGTTGAGCTCACAATTAGGGTAAACTTGTAGGCCCAAATATTACAACAGTGCTAAAGCAAGTACTAAGTAATATGAGAAACCTATTCTGCTCTAGCACTTCCATATATAAAAGGCTGTTTTGGCCTCTTACAAAGTTGTCGAAAGCCACTGCAGATTATGTAACACTGACTAATAGTAGTTTATAGATTATCCTACACTGTCTCCCAGCAGGAGATTAAGAATGTCACTTTCACTCCAGTTTAATAGTAAAGTTGTGCAAATAATGGATTTTTTGGTTGCAGACATTTCCAAAAAATTGTGAGAAAAAATTAGTTTTGGATAAATCCAAAAGTGGATTTTTTTTTCCAAAAATTTCAGTGACTCAGACTCAAGAAAAAAAAATCATTTCAGGTCAAATTAAATGTTTTTGTTTTGTTTCTGACCATTTAAAACATTTTTATTGTTGTTTTTTTTTAAAAAGCAAAGGGAAATTTTTTAAATGAAAAGTGTACCGTTTTGAAAAATGTCAAAACAAAATGATTTTACAGAATTTATTTTAATTTTTTGGACTGAAACAATTCATAGAAACCAACATGAATCTGTGAAATATTTTGGGTGTTGCCAAATCTGTGTTTATCACTGAAAAAATGATTCAGAGAATTTCATCCAGTTCTACTTAATACAGTGTCTCAAAATATTACAATGCGACAATCTTTGTTCCAATATATATATGATATTCTCTCTCTTTCCTCTTCCTTGCTTGCTGGAAATAGTAATAAAAATATAAAAAGAGGCTATTTATCCATCTGTTTTGATTTTTTAAAGGTATTTGAATTTGTGCTGGTTCAACAGGCAAATCCATCCAAATGAGGATCCGAGATTTCCTAGCTGCTGGGTCATTTAATTGTATATTATCTTTGTTTTGACAGCTCTTTGTGAAATTATTCGGTGAAATTATTGATTTTTACAAAAGTGTACTTAATAGCAAATCTGATCTGTGGTGTTTAAGCTGGTGGCCTTAAACTGGTGTGCTGATGATATTTATGCACGTAAGCACTCTTCAGTCCCTTGAATGACATTTCATAACTCAACAAGGGATTGGGTAGTATCCTGCTGATGTGCTCGATTACCAGAAAGTTTACGATCCATCGCTCCCTCAATTTCTCCCAATGGTTACAGAAGTGGGACATAGGTTGGATGGTTTGTCAAAGGATTGGAAATAAGGAATTGTATTCATAGATGTCTAAACAAAATATCTTTTAAAGTACTGTCTTTTTCCTTGACTAAATGTGTGATGAAGAAATAAATTGCATCTTAATCCTGGGCAAATTCTATGTATTAAATGCTGTTTACTGGCTTTGAAGTGCAGACCTTATGAAAGAGGCTAACGAAACGCAGTACAGTCATTGCTCTATGACATCTGGTTGAACTTTTATTTTATGCTTAATTTTTTATAGACCACTGACTACGGTAGCTTTCGGTCAGAGGATTTCCAGGATTTCACAAAACAGTGGCTTTGCCTTTTGTAAGGCAGATAAGATTTATTAATTCTGATTTTAAACAACTCCTGCTGCCAATGGTCTCATGCAAAAATAATTGTGGTTGTAGGCATGAAAACAGAGCAGGGAGGGTTTCATCTTTGCACTGAGGCAATTATATAATATATATATTATATAAATTACTTTCAGAGAGCAAGAAAAGTTTGCCATGTATATACATCCTTGAGCAGATGTTAAATAACTCGGTCTTTTCAAATAGTGATATGAAGGTACTTTATTTTCCCTGGTCAAAATGTTCAGAAATGACTGATTTTGGATGCCTCAGATTTGGAATGCCCATCTTGAGCCACCTTAAAAAGGCCTGATTTGCAAAGGACAAGAGCTCAAACTTTCTTAAAGTCAAGCCCCTTTAAGGTGTCTTAAATTGGGCACCCAAAATCACTAGTCACTTTTGAAAATCTTGGTCTCCATGTGTATGCGTATTGCTTGCAGAATTATATTGGAAACTGAAGAATATACACAAACCAGAACAGTGAGTGCATTGGCATTAAATGTTGTGTTTGCAAGGACATTGTAAAGTAGGCATCATATCAAGCATTTGTTACTTCGAAGAAGCAGGCCTCAGCAAGTACCATTAAGAAAAGCTCTGGCTATGGGTAAAGTGATCAAAGTAGACATTTGTCCATCAGGTTTTGGTACATTTATGAATATTTCAAAGTACTTTTGAGCCATCTCCTACCATCAGTCCACAAGTGTAACTCCCTGCTGAAATCAATCGGGAGTTCTGCATGAAAATGTCACCTTTCCAATCAATCTAGCTTTCAGTGGCTAAAATAATGCTCTGCTCTGACCATTTCATCTCCAGTCCTCTTCATGGACTCTCTCTCTTTCCACATAAAGTTCAAAATCCTCAACGTCATTCCTAAGGCTTTGTCTACTCCGGAACTTCGTCAGCAAAACTTTCTATCGTTCAGGGGTGTTAAGAAACACACACACACACCCCGAACGACAAAATTTTACTGACGAAAAGTGCTGGTGTGCGTGGGGGGTGGAAGTTTTTTGGTCGGCAGGAGAGCTTTCTCCTGCCGCCAAGCAGCAGCTACACTGTGCGCCTTTTAGTGGCACGGCTGTAGTGGCACAGCTGTGTTGCTAAAAGCTGTGTAGTGTAGACAAAGCCTAAGTCTCTGCACAGCTCTGCCCCGCCTGCCTCACATCTTTGGTTGCTCTCCATCTCACCCACAGCCCTCTGCCCTCTGGGATGCCTAGCTACTTCCTTTCTCTCCACTCTTTGGTGTTCTTGCTCTTAGATTTCTCACACTGCTACCTAGGCATGGAAGATGCTCCATCTAACTACTGCAAGCAGCCTCACTCTCATTCAGAACCTGCTTGAAAACACATTTCTTTGCTCTTTTTTTTCCATCACTGACTTCCCACTTCTGTCTGAGCTACCCCTCTCCTATTGACCTACCTCAGTCACTGCTTATAAAGTCAAAGCTTATATGGTTCTCTTCATCTATTATCTGACTCCTATTATGTTTCAACCCTCACCTTCCTTTTTTCCCCACCCCTTCCTTTAGCTAACATCCTTTTCTTTGTCTAATTTTAGATTGCAAGCTCTTTGGGTATGCACCGTACATTTATTTCATCTCTGTAAAGTGACATGCAAACATTTATATAGCACCATAATCTATGTGGATAGCAGACTACAGCCATTACATGTTTTTTTAGGGGGTGAGGCATACATGAAGCCAGGAATATTGTTTTTTTGGGGGGGAATTTGCCCCTCTGCTGGTTACTTCAGAAGTATAATTAGAAGAGAAAATAGTAAAAGGGAGGTATTGTGAGCAGGAAACTCCTAGCAGCTATTGAATATTGGTTTAAACTGTTGGAGCAAATGACAACTGACACCAGCAGACGATCTTCCCCGTGCTTTATCCTAGTGAACTGAAGAGACTTCAGCAGGCTGTGATGCACCAAACTAAATGATATGGTTGTTGATGAAGATGTCACTTCTCCTTTAATTTAGGACCAGTATTAAATATCCATCTTTATTTTGCTTTCTTTCATTTATAAAATTTTCAGGTAGACCTATACATATTTTTAAAAATAATTGTTTTTCTCTTTCAGCAATTAATGAATTTCCTGAAGATGTATTTACAAATAAGGATCGGCAGGAGGGAGCAGTGCTGTTTCATATTATTGGTGTAAGTTTTGTCCTACCTTGGTTCCTTTTGGTTTTCCTTTTTTTATTTATTTAGTAAGTTGCAAGAAGTTACCCAGTCCCATTGCCCTTTCTTAGTAGAACTCTGTAAATCAGCAGATTTTTAATAGTGCATTTGCAACTCAATTCTCAAATAGCAGAAGGCGACTGGAGCACTTTAAAAACTGTTCATGCAAGCCTAAATTAGCAATGTTTATGCCTTCATCTCAGTTAGGGGTGAAATCTTGACCCCATTGAAATCAATGGAAGTTTTGGCATTGATCTCAATGGAGCTAGGATTTCACCCTGTATGGGCAGGTATGGATTCCGGTTGCCCTCTGTGCAGGAATGGATGATATGGGGTCTCCTTGTTCCCTCTCCTGTCCATTGTGCATCTGTGCAAAAGAAACAAGGATAAGGCCCTTAAAGCCTAAAGGAATACAGATGAAATCTGGTAACGTGGTACTGGGCTTGATGTCTTATTGCAGAAACCAAAAACATTTAAAGGTCTTCGGGGCTCAGTCTTGCAGTCCCAGCTCTGGGAAAGTAATAGTAAATGGGAGATTTGCTTGAGTGAGGACTGCAGGATTGGTCCCATTGTGAAAATATGCATCACATAACTCACATAGAGCAACAGGAGGACAACATGTGCTCACGAGACAATCACAGCCCCTGAGATGTTTGCAAATGGGAGCCAAGGTCAGGGACCATTTCTTTCAGGATGTGATTGTTCTTTGCACATGGAATATCTTGGTGTTGCTTTTGCTTTCATTACCTACCCAGGTAATTAATTGAAAACACGAGTGATGACTGCTCTTCCTCCAAAGCACTGTCTGTTATTATCATGTCCCTTACTCTACCATGGCACCCAATTACAACAAATTACTGCTTTTTCATTATTCGCTAACTTTCCAAGCCCTCCCTTTCTAAGCATACTGTTAAGTAGAAGAACATATTGATATTTTTATGCCATAACTTCATCAATACAGTTTTTTTGTAGCAGATAGAAATGGAGCCACATATTCATGTTAGTTTGTTTCTACATTATTTGAATAAACATCCTGTCATTCTCCTCTCCCTTTTTTACATGATGTGACTGAGTAACATTTTCTTACTTTATTTTTTCCCACAGGCTCTTTATATGTTCTATGCCTTGGCTATAGTATGCGATGACTTCTTTGTTCCCTCGTTAGAGAAAATTTGTGAGGTAAGTGACAGAGAAATTTAACCACCTATTGTAAATCTGTTTCCTGTAGGTTTTAGGTTTGGATGTTTTGTACCATCCAATGGCTGTCTGGAGTTTGTTAGAAATGAGTTTGGTGGCCTCAATTCATTTCCTGGTGGACAGGGCTCCATATCACAAACCCACTACAGTTTGCGCTAATTGACACCCTTGACAGCTGTCTTAGCAAAGATGCTAATGACTGAATGGGCATAGCCAAATGATTTCCTCCTGTCACAGGTCTGAAGCACATTGGTGGGGCAGTATAGAGGGTGATGTAAGGTTTAGATGGGTTTGTTACTATGATCCTAGTTTTAAAAGCCACTTGGAAAAAGAAGAGCTAGAAATATTTATATTAATTTGCTGGCCATGGGTGTCTTTCTGCCAGCAAGACTAATCAGTCAGAGGAAGGGATGTGCTTGTGCTGTTTTTCTGGCCTGTTGGGATTGGGTGTGGAGGGGTGGAAGAGAGTTAATGTATAGAAATAACTATCAGGTAGACTTTTCAAAAGCACCCAGCATTGGCTTAACTCTGCCACATCTGAAGTCAGTGAGAGTTTTACTATTCATTTCAGTAAGAGCATAGTTAAGTCAGTGCTAAGCACTTTTGAAAATCCCACCCAAAGGCAATGCAGGATGAATAATTGGAAAGGGAGAATATAGTTATTATAACTAATGAAGTCAGTTATTTTATGTACAGGGCCCACTTGAACCAGATCTGTGAAATGTAACTAGAAAATGTAGTGCAATATATAATATATACACAATTGAGAATAATAATCTGCTATTATATTAAAACATTAATGTACAGCACTTTACAAACTTATTTATCAGATACTAGTTAGAGTTGATCAAGATAGGGGGAAAATTAAACTTTTGATCCAAAATTTATTTTGTTGACAATTTTCCAACCAACTATAGAATTGATTGTAAAATAGAAAACCTTATTTGGAGAGTGGGGATTGACATAATTTCATATTAACAGAAATGTTTTGACCAGCTGTTCTAGCTAATAAGGCATCTTTTTTCCTCTCCTCTGGACACATGTACAGAACGCCCACAAACATCAGTAGGAGTTACATAGCCTTATCAACAGGAGAACAGATGTAAGGATAGATTGTAGCAGCAAATACTTGCAAAGTATTCAGCAGTGATCTTTACTTACTGTTTTCAGATGTGCTATCAGCATAGCATACTTTTAGATACATGATATTTAAGATGTACCATAATGTTGCTGCTTCTGCTGTCGATCCTTCATAAAATCTATTCTGCTTGTTAAGTATCTCCAGAATGCTAGACAGCTAACAAGAATCCAGAGTAGTTAGCACATCCGTGCTGAACTCTATCAGCCATGCTATCGGTGATAGATCATCTTAGCCCTGGTCTACACTGGGGGGTGGGGGGAGAGGATATTGATCTAAGTTATGCAACTTCAGCTACGTGAATAGCGTAGCTGAAGACGACATACTTAGACCTACTCACCACGGTGTCTTCACTGTGGTGAGTTGACTGCTGCCGCTTTCCCGTTGACTCTGCCTGCACCTCTCGCGGCAGTGGAGTACAGGAGTCGATGGGAGAGCGCTCGGGGGTCGATTTATCGCGTCTAGACTAGATGCAATAAATCGACCCCCGCTGGATCGATCGCTGCCCGCCGATCCAGCGGGTAGTATAGACATACCCTTAGAGAGCTGTGTGTTGTGCTTCTATGCCATGCGTTCCTTATGAAGCCCTTCCTGCTAGCTCAGAATGTTGCAGAGTGCCTGAAAAATACTCTTACCTGCTTCGTTTATCACTAGGCACTCTTCTATCCTTGGAAGTGGGATGGGATATTAAAGATGAGTCTAGGGATTCAAAAAGGAAAAACTTTCCCATAATATTGTCTTTATAGTGCAAAGGAAAGATCCTCAGCTCAGATCCTGGTGTGAATAGGCCTAGCCCAATTGTGGAGCTAAGTGCATTTATACCAACTGAGGTTCTGGCTCAAAAGCTCTAAGGTAACTGCATACAGATTAGAGCTCAAGAAGCAGTATATTAAAAATAGATCTGTCTATGGGACACAATCCTCTCTCTAGTTCTACACTGCTCTAATTTCATGTACCTCGTTGGAGTTCACATTAGAATAAGCGAGATCAGAATCAGGCCTACTATTTGCAAGACATATTCACATAGGTTATATTTTACTCTCACTTAATTCTGTTACCAAATTTTACAAGCTAGGTATCCCCTGTAACTCTTGAATTACTCATGACTTCATTCTAAAAACTGTTCATTCCTGAGCGTTCCACCTTCTAGAATCCCCATCTGGGTGGTCTTTCTCTAATCAGCTTGGTTAGTTCAAATATTATAATGTAAGTGGATAATATTATCTAACTGGTGTCCCACTAGGTTAGGGGATAAATATTTTATATGCCCAAAGCATGTTGTCTATATCTCATATATAGGCTTTTTCAACCTTTGAGCTGTATCATAGTGGGAGTTCATTCTTTCACGGTATTGTGACCAAGAAAATAAAAGGATTCTATCTATAACTATAAAGTGTGCTATGTAAAAAGACCAGCAATGCTGAACTAATAGGTACTTTTCTTTCAGAAATTACATTTGAGTGAAGATGTTGCTGGAGCCACTTTCATGGCTGCAGGAAGCTCGACCCCAGAGTTATTTGCATCTGTAATAGGTAAGGGATCTGCTCAATAGCATGTGCAACAGTTGCCATTAAAATGTCAAGGTAGGTGAGATTATATCTTTTATTGGGTCAACTTCTGCTCTTTTTCAGCTATGTATAGCTTGAAAGCTTATAACTTGTATAAAAGATATTATCTCACTTATCTTGTCTCTCTCATATCCCGGGACCAATATGGCTACAACAACACTGCAAACATTAAAAGTCAGGAACAGATCCTTGGCTTAGATTTCAGTGGAGCTATGACAATTGACACCAGCTGAAGATCTGCCCCTCTGTATTATTGAGTGGTTTCCCATGCAGTGGTATATGAAAGTGCCACCATTCTTCCTTATATTTAGAGCAGGAGATAACTGAGTTAACAGGTTTTAGATTCTGATGTTCTGCTGGGTTCCATTCTGCAGCTGACACCATTCAATACTCAAAACCTGCAGCAGTGATACTGTACTACCACACTTCAAGATTTGAGCAGATACAGCGGTACTAAACATACCTGGGTGGTGAAAGTTGAGATTTTAATGCCATCCGCTGGAACAAATTTTCCTTCAGTTACATTTGTGAAACCTTATTGACATCAGTGAGAGCAGAATTTGTCCCACAGTAAGGAGAATATACATAAATATAGTAAAGCCCACATAAGGCCATATCATCTATCTACTCCACGGCATCTAATCTACAGATACACTCTCCTACATAGAGGGGGTGTGATAGCATCACAGGATCCATAATATCAAAGTCTGTTTGTTCAAACAAGATTATTTTAGCTGAAAACAAAGCTTCAGAATCGTCATGGGAGCTTTCTTCTTTGCACTCTGTCATGTTAGATAGTTATATGGCCCCCGTTACCCTGGTATCTGAGTGCCTTATAACACCCTTGTGAGGCAGGCAAATACTATTTTCCCCATTTTATAGGTGAGTAACTGAGGCCCAGACAGATTAAATGACTTGCCCATGTCACACAGGAAGTCTATGGTGGAGCAAGAAATTGAACCTGTGTCTCCTGAGTCTCAGGCAAGTCTCCACCCACTAGACCATATGTCCTATCAAGAGTAGCACCCCAAACTATACACAAGGTGGCTGCTAGGAGTTCTTTGTAGGTAGTGCCGTCCCTGCAGATGTTAAAGGGACAGAAATCTAAATGTTAACTGTCCAGGGGAAAGTTCCTGTGCTTTATTGTAACATTTGAAGTCAGTTACATTGTAGAGTTCTGATGTCACTGGAGGTATTTTACATCTCCTTTTGATAAAATATGCATACAAAATAGCTGCTAACTATCCCAAAAACTTCAGAAGGCGCAGCTGATATGTGCACTCATTAATCTAATTTTGGTTAAACATTTAAATGATCATGGATTTTTGTTGTTCACAGTTGATACTCGTTTTGAACAAATAGGCATTGCCAGTAATGAAGTGATAGGGGTTAATTGTGAATGTATTGCTCTCTCTGCAGGTGTATTTATCACTCATGGTGATGTAGGAGTTGGGACTATTGTTGGGTCAGCAGTTTTCAACATCCTTTGCATTATTGGCGTCTGTGGGATATTTGCGGGACAGGTTAGTAGGTTACCTTTTTTTGGCTTTCTGTTGCTTAGTTTTTTCTTTTGCACGGAAAATGTTTGAGAAATATTGGAATGCTAATGGAAAACGAGCATGAAAGTGCTGTTAAGACAAGGGAAGTGATCATGTTAGAAATAATTCAGACACATCTTACAAATAGGTAATACTGCAAAATAGCGGTTGTCTCAGCTTTCCAAAGTGGCCAGTACCTGATATTCAGAGGAAGGTGATTCCTTCCCATTTGCCATTACATCCTCAGTCAATTGATTAGTATAAATGGGGAGGGGAAAAATCCTTCCTGACTCCTGTGGTGAGTTATTTATACCGTAAAGCATTTGCTCACCCTTCTCCGTAGGAGGCATTCATGAATATCACAATTTTTATATTAAATCTGATATACCTCCCAAATAAAATTAAAAGGGAATTGTTCATTTGCAGAACTGCAGCAAGTTGTGCTTTGCTTCTTGTTCACCTAAAACCACGACCAATGAAAATACCATTAGTAAGAAATACATTTTATTAAGGGAGACATTTATAAGGTTTTTATTAATGGTGGTAATTATAGATACATTTTAGGCCTAATCTTGCAAACATGTAGGCATGTAATTTTAATGTATCCCTATTATATCCCCATTGGCTTTAGAGGGACTACTCATATGAGTAAAGTTACTCATGCAGCTAAATATTTTAAGATCAAGCTCTTAGTTTTACTTGCAAACTTTTGAAATCACTGTTGTTTGTCGGCTAAAACTGTGCTTCTTTTCAGGTGGTTCGTCTCACCTGGTGGTCTGTGTTTAGGGACTCAGTGTACTACACGCTTTCTGTGATCCTTCTTATCATTGTAAGTGTCCCTCTGGGCTTGCCACATCAGTTATTAAAGTAAAAAAAATTGCTTGAGCCCCGGCCCCTCTTTCATTACAAATTAAGCACTGCCTCGCACAAACTACAGGTCCATTCTGATCCAAGTAGCTTCTCTTGGAGCATGTTGGGATTTAGAAATTGCACACCATATTAAAGAGTCAGGGTAGCTGTTATCTGCAGCTTCTAGTACATGTTAGGCTTGTCCCACAGATAAATTGCCAATACAGGCAGAGTTTAGTAGGTAAAGTTTGGGCACAGCTGAAATGACCATTATATTTTTCCAAAGAGTGTAGTAACTCTGACATTTCTATATTTAAGTATTTGGTGGCAGGGAGGGGGAGATTCATCTTAATTTATTTTATTCATAATAAAAATAGAACAGCAATGGCTCATTCAACCAAAGGGATGGCATAAAATGAAGTTAAATTGGGATCACCTGCTGTTCTGAGGGCCCAGCTGTGTGGCTGCATGGCTGGAGAAGCAGTTCTGGAGCAAATTTTGAAAGGACTTGATGCCTTTGATCTTGGAAAATAGACCACACTGTTTTATGAGCCTCCTACCTGTCTTCCAGACACATGGTTGCTCACTCTCAATCATATGCAGTGTATGTGTGTGTATCTCTCATGCACCATTTAGCTGAGTGACTTTAATAGCAGCGTCTAAGAAAGGCCCAAATCTTGGCTGTAGGGTTGGTGTTGCAGTGTTGACAGCAGGTACAGAAGAAGGTTTGGGATGGGAAGAGTGGGAAGGAGAAAGCTCCAGTAGCTTCAGGTTGGAAATGACAGTATAGCAAATAAATAAATACACCGCTGTGAAGATTCTTCGCCTGCTGTACAGTGCAGCTGACCAGTTTTTAGTGGGACTGGAGAAATGGTCAATTTGTTTGTTTGTTTTTCTTCCAGTTCATATATGATGAGCAAATAGAATGGTAAGTTGTGTTGTTAATTTCTCAAATTAGTGTATTCTCCATGTCACTGATCAGTACCTACAATCACAGTTTAGCCAAATTCAGTGCTTACATCCTGTGCATTGGCAGTGAGGCCAATGGGGTGTGAGCGAGCACTGGATTTGTCCCGGGGAGATACCGCTTTCTGTCTTTAATTAAGGTTTTTTTGGTATGATAAATAGTGAAAACTAAAGGAAAATTTAATAACCAGAAAACATTAACAGCCATCCCCAGCTGCTCCTGCCTGAGTACGCAGGGTGCAGCATGGGGTGCAGGAAGCACTTTCATCCCCTTACACACCTGCACCCAGGGCAGCCAAAATCCCGTTGCAGTGCTCTTTGAGATGAAACTATAGAGAAGTATTAGCACTTCCAATGGTGCCACATACCATAGGCCCTCCCCTCCTTCACTCCCCTCTCCCCCTCCCCTCCCCACCCCAGCTGACAAGCCAACCCTGGATCTGTGGGAGAACAAGCTGCATCTCCTGAAAGAAGGCATAAGAGCCACTCCAGAGTCCATGATAAGCTCTGCTGGCAGAATGGCTCTGGTCACTGCTTCTGGCATGGTGCAGCTCTGTCTTCCATAGCTCTAGCACAGTTCTAAAATGTTGAAGTGAAATATACATAATATGTGTGTTGTTCAAAGCCCAAAGGAGTTTTGCTTCTTCTGGGCCCTTGAAACTCCCTCTAATGTTACCACTAGGAATTCAGTGCACACAAAAGCAGAGAACACTTCTCATACTGCTTACCCGTGGCACATTCCTACTGAAAATACCATAAGATTACAGCAGCATACATGACCCTACTAATTCCTTTCCTTTCCTTTTCTCTCTTTGAGGTGGGAGAGCCTTATACTCATCGTTATGTATTTCTTCTACATACTTATCATGAAGTAAGTTCTTCTCCCCTCTCTGTGCTCTTTAATTGTAATTTGGCGATTGTTTCTCTGGAATTGCAACATGCTCTGATCTCCAGCTGAGGAGAATTCCGACAATCTCATTTCCCTGTCTTACCTCCCCCACTTTTGTGCTAGATCAACACACTCTTGGAGTATGTACTGCAGATAGCAGCAAATCTTTGGATGTTTATTTTTTGTTGTATAATAGGGCACAGCAGGTCTAAGAGGTGGCTGAGGAGAAAGGTCAAAAAATGGATTCTCTAGCTCCATGACTGTAAAGTAGCATGGAGGTTATGAGTAAAACAGAACACACATGTATTTTTAGAGGCTTTTTTCTGGAAGGTTGCTCTTGCTCTCCCAATTTTACCACCACCAGTAACTGTGTGTTCTTGCAAATTGGAAACTTTCCTGTTTTAGAGCCCTGTCTAAGCATCCGTTAGTTTTACAAACACCAGCAGTTTGTCCTGGTTTTTGTAACCTCTGTGGACTGACCATGTGAAGGAGCCTCCAGGCAGCCAGCTGAGCATGGATTCACCACAAGAACATTCCCTGCCAGACCTGTCATGTATTGATGCCCTTATCCTTATCTTTCACCCTCACTCCTCCTCAGAGTCTATGAATCAGCCCTCCCCTGGGAGGAGACGAGGTATAGTCTGCTTAGTTGAAGAGATGGAGAAGTCGGTACCCACTTTTTGTTTCTCGCCCTCCCATTTACTCCTACCTTGAGCCCACCAAAACTATCTCCTGTGTGACCTCAACTTCCCCTTCAACACTAGGGCCTTCCTGAGCCCATCAGCACCACTACTAGGTCAACCAGAAGGGTCAGTATAGAGTGAATTCTTTCTCATGGTGGGGCTTAGCCAACTGTCCCCACAGTGCTGTCCCTGTCAGTCCACAGGGCGAGAGAACCCTCCTGAGAATCACACCTTGAGCTCTTGTATGCTGGTGCACAGCATTGGTGAAAAGGCCATTGCATAGTGAGTATGTCTTTGGGTATATTTACACTCCCATCAGGAGGTGTGATTGGAGCACATGTAGACATACCCAAGCTAGCTTTGATCTAGCTAGATCATAGCTAGCTCAAGTAACAATAGCAGTGAAGTTGTGGCAGTACAGGCTAGTCCTGCCCACCTGGGACCCCAGATAGTCGAGCAGCTGCCTCATTGTCTTTACTGTTATGCTAGCTAGATTAAAGCTAACTCAGGTATGTCTACACATGCTACTGTCACACTTCCCAACTGCAGTGTAGACAGATCCCTAGCCCACAAATCCAACCCCCAAAGACATTGCATCTGCATTGGAGCAACTCATTGGCAATGCAGAACCTGATTATGGCTTTATTTTCCTCTTTCCCTGGGAAATAAAGTCCTCATTGCTTGGCAGTTTTCACTGCAACAGAAATTCTTCCCTCTCAGTTCTGTCAAAAGGGTGATAACATGCATTATAATGTGAAATAAATATTTTAAATGACTTCTTCAATGGCGGCATTTAAATCAGAAAGCTACTCATAAGAGTTCAGAGATAAGGAGGTAATCCTTTAAGGAAGGAGAAGAGCAGCTCAGGACTGATGTCATAAAAATAGTTGCTGTGTAATGGTTCTGTTATAGCCTGCAGAACGTGAAGAAGTTAATGCGAAACTCTTATTAAGATGAAGGGGTATATTCAATGTGGCATCTGTGTCTGACATAGATTTCAATGGCATTCATTTAAATGTAATTGCTTGTATATTTACAGTACATTTTAGAAACCCTATAAAGTTCATGTCCCAGGAGGTGGAACAAACTAAATTCTTAGGGGACAGAAAAGCCCCTTGTATATACTGAAAACTCTCAGTATACAGAGGATGTGCTTCAAGATCCCTTGATGTGGATTGAGCATGTCCAAAGCTTGTCCTGGGGGCCAAATGCTATTCTGTATGCTGCGGCAGCCATGCTCTTTGATATAGAGACGAAGACTTCTCAGGCTTCACATCCAGCATGCAGTGCTTCACCTTGAGCTAAATGTTCTCCCTGGAATGTATTTCTGAATTAAAACTGCTTTCTGAAGCCTGCAAGCTAGGTGCAGTCCTTGTTCTTCTGTCAGATTGCCAAAATGACCTTCAGGTGGGCAAAGCTTAGTCATTCCTGCAGTACAGAGTTTGATACTCTCTGGCTTTTCCTAGCGTAGTGTAGGTTGTCACAAAATAATCCCTGTGGGCTGGGTTACACTGCATCAGCCTGGGAGTTTGGAGAAGTATTCCAACAATCCAGCATTCTCAGACCCATCTTTTTGCACTTTCAGGTACAATGTGAAGATGCAAAAGTTGTTTACCATCAAAAGCATGAACGTTGGGAATGGCAACACAGTCAGCAATGAGCTGGAAGATGGTAATGAATGTTATGACATAAGCTATGATGACCCATCCATGCCATTGCTATGGAAAGGTAAGGCTGAGCAGACAGGAGTTGGACAAAGAGTTGACATACATTGTGGGTGGATTTTTTTTCCAATGGTGAACAAAACAGTGATAATATTTAACCTTAAGCAAGAAGGACAATGCCATATTTATTAGGCTAAGTTGACAAATTCAGTGCAGCCAAGCCTTTGAGAATCATAATTCCTTCTAGAGGTGATGGAAACATGCTACTTTGTACACCTGCAGCATTGCTGTCTTCTACTCTCTGGTTCAGCAATAGGTGAATGAGTTACAAAACCATAAATGAAATATTTTCTTTGCTGTGAATGCAGAAGGTAATTTTCACTTTAAGATGTGTAAGAATTAAGTTCCAGGCAGTAGGTGAAACCTGCATTGGGGTGCGATGGCCAGGGTGGCAAAAGGAACCATCCTAATGTGAGGTTGAGTTTGAATACTAGGACGGCAAGGTCGGTTCCTAAACAGATGTGGAAAGTGGGGGGGAAGGGGTTTTGGCAGCCACATGGGGAAGATGGTTTTCTGCTGCCACTGCAGCATGAGAGAGTCAGCACGTTTGTTCTTCTTGAATCTTTCAGCTCTGCATTTCCTTCTGTCTGCTGTTTATATCCCCTCCTGTCTGCAGAACCAAGTCCTTGCTGCCTGGCTCAGCCCCTCTCACTCCTTGAGCCCTTCCTGGCTAGTCAGGTCTTGCTGCTTCATTATTTGCAAGCAACTTCAAGTATCTGGAAGCTGCATCTCCTTGAAATGTGGGCAGCATTTGGAAAGGGCAGCTAGTGGTATAAGAGAGGTGGGCTAAGGCTTTGTTTGCCCAGTGCATTTTGGGTCAATCCACCTCACCGCAGACTTACAGTATGAATATGTCCCCTCCCCTTTTCTACCTCGTGTATTTAGATTAGGAGCTGTCCAGAGTAGGCATTGTCTTTTACAGTACTGTACTGTGCTTAACATAATGGGGCCGCGGTCTCAGTTGGGGTCATAGGCACTATTGTAGTATAAATATTAATAATCAAATAAATTAATCAATTTCTTATATGAAACCATGGCATGATTAAGAGAAAATCACTTTGTAGCAAGTATTATGATCCTTCTTTATGTTGGATCTTCAGGTAACAGAAGGGCTATTGCATAGTGAACTATCCATTCTCTCTTGGATGCATGGGAGATTTACTCAGGATTAGAGAATAATCTTCCTCAGGATTAGAGAATAATCTTCCTATATGACAAAAAGCTGGCATTGCTGCATATCACTTAATTGGTCAGAGTCCTTTCAAGGGACGTTGAAGTTTGTCTGCTCCACCAGGGAGATGGTTAGAATGCAGGCCTAGGAGTAGAAACACCAGAGTTCTGTTTCTGGCATAGATGCCATCTTGCTGTGTGACTTTACCCAAGTCATATACGTTCTTTAAGCTTCAATTTCTCTAGCTACTGTGTAAATTTGGGCTAATAATATTGAATCGTTACTTACCCCTATCTGCCTCATGGGCATGTTGTGAAGACTAATTCATGTCTGTGAAGTGCTTTGAGTTTCTCAGAGGCATTACATAAGGAGGCTAAAAATAGCCTAGATCCACCCAAATTTCATTCCCTTCAAACTTTCCCCACAACAGATTTCTTCTCTGTTAACTTTTCTGCTGTCTTGAAATCTGAGGCCAATCTCCTCCCCATATCTGATGTTCCTCCCCTTCCTCATCCCCAGCAGCAGTCTCCCCCTCTTACCGCAATGTGAGACCACATGGGAGGGACCAAACCACCACTAGAAATCAGAGGTGGGGTAGTGTGGGAATGGGCATTACCATGGGGACAGTGGACAAAGGGAAGTAAGGGGACCTGCCTAGGGTGAGAGAGGAAGAGAAAACATGAGTGGGATAAAGATGAGGGGACAGAGAAGGAACTGTGGTGGGTAGTGGGAGAGGTGCTTCATCCAGGTTGCCTCACAACTTTGTGCATCAGGCAACAAGATCCTTCTCCTAAAGACAGTCACATGGCTGCCTGCTGCACCACATTCCTCTTGGGCAAAAACGTGCCATGACCTTGCATTGCCTCTGCCTTGGCCTGCTCTTGGCCAGCTTCCTCCAGAGTTGAACTCCATCTTCCTAAGGTACTGCCAGCAGTCTTCAGGTGTGTGTGTGGGAGTGGGCGTGGGGAGGCTGCCATCAGCTGGCCTGCTGCCTTGCCTCCTACTTGTGGCTAGCAAGTTTCAGAATCCACTGCTATACCACCCCAGGATTCAATGGGCTGGATTTAACCTTAATCTGCTCCTGCCCGTACATACCAAGTCTGATTATTTTCTAACAAAGAACAGCTGCTCTCAGTTAGGTACTTTCTTCATACTGGTGATGGGAATTCTATTACTGTAGGTGCAGATAAAAGGGAGGTTCACATACTGTACAGCTGCCTTTGATGCTCATACGTTTTATTACTTTCAAGAGCTTCCACTAGTGAAACATAAAAGGTTCCATTACTGGATTTTCATACAGAGAGCTTTTCACCCTGAGAAAAATTCAATTTCAAGGACGAGTTCTATACACAGAAGTGAAGGCAAAAGATTTGTACTCCTGTTAATAATGCTCCCATTTTAAAAGTACAGGCACCATGGCTCAGTGCTCTGGGCATTTTTTATATATATATTGACCCATGCTCCCCTCAGATGGCATGGGTTTGATTCCTCCCTGGTAACAGAAAACTCTTGCTAAGAGTGTGTTGTGTGAGTCTGTACTGAACACAGGTTAGATGCCACAGGGCTTGATCCAAAGCCTGTTGAAGTCAATGAGTGGCTTTCCGCTGACTCTAGTAGACTTTGCATCAGACCCTGAGTGATGAGCAGAAAGTTTGCCTATTTCTGAAAAGAAAATACTATGGCTGGAGGATATTCCCCTTGCAGGATGTACAAAGGAGTTGCAGAAAATGCTTTTCCTTTTTTTGTAAAAACCACTTATGCCATTTGTGAAATGGGACCCATCTGGACCATATGAGGCTGGGTTATGTGTCTCCAGAAACAGATGGAATCGGATTGAAGAGAAAAACAGGCAGAATAAATGTGCTGTGTTAGCCTTGGGGCTGCAGTAATTCATACACCCATGATCTGTGCACTGTACCTCAATGGTGAGGTTTTTACCCTGTAATTCATCAAAGGTCCTTCTGACTTAGAGTGACCATACGTCTCATTTTGGCTGGGACAATCCCTTTTTTAAGCCTTGTCCCGGCCATCCCGACTTTCTTGGCAAAACTGGGCATTTGTCCCGTTTTCTCTTGCCAACTGATCATTAGCTGGCAAGAGAAAACTGGACAAATGCCCAGTTTTGCCAAAAAAAAAGTGTGTCGCAATTCCTAGTGGGGCATGGAGGAACATGAGGGTGGAGGTGGAAGAGCAGCCCTGAGCAGAAGGGAGAGAGGGATCGGGAGAGCGGTTTGGGCAAGGCCAGCCCCATTCAGGCAGGCAATAGGGGCCTTCAGGCCAGCCCCGTGGGGGGACGGCGACGGGGGCCTTGGGCTGCCCCAGACCGGTGTCCCATTTTCCCTTTGGGAAAATAAGGTCACCCTATTCTGACCTGAGCATCTCATTAGTGCTCCTAGAATTAGTTCCATTGTGACTGCAGTACTTCCGTGTTGTTTTCACTGACAAGTTGCGTGATCAAGGAGTGCTTTGGAGATTTCACTGGAGAAACTCACTTGAGAGCTGCTAGTCTAGCAAGACTGCATTAAATCGAAGTGTCAGGGCTTTCTTCTTTACCAGGATTGTTGCCAAACATTTTTTTTCCTCGACTAAAGCAAATGTTAGGCTGCTATGGTTGAGTCTCCTTTAAATGAGAGTCAGATCACAACTGTGAGTGTTCAGGCTATCTTGGCTATACACTGCTTCACAGGAAAAATAACCTCAGTGCAATCACTTCCTAGAGAGCCTTCAGAAGAGCCCTGCTCCTTATTTTGCATCTACTGCAATATCCCATTAAATTTGGCTGAAGATATTGGGAGTGGGAGGATAATTGCTGCTTTACCTTCACCCAATACAAAATTATTCCTAGTTTCATCCTTCATTGTAGATTAAACTGCAAGGCCAAAGCTACTTAACTGATCCTCTGGATAGAAAATGTTTTCTTTTGAAACTTTAAGATATCTTTATGTGCCTCATGTGAGCACCATACCCTCACCGAAAGCCTCATTTTAATGAAACACAAAACAGTGTCTTGTAAAGTTCTGCCTCCCCCAGTACCAAGAGGCTCAAGGACAGGAGCGTAAAAGGGTGTATTGGTGATTTACAATCTCATCCAGGCGTTTTTTGGGGGGTGGATGTTAATGGGAGGATCTGTTCTCAGATCCCAAAACGTATGTGTTAGAAGATGCTACAAGCTGCAAAGCTTCAATAGATGATGTAGTTTGCACATGTATATTGAAACTGACCTCATCCTAAAAAAACAAAAATATTTAATCACTGGAGTGAATAACAGATGTAGGCTCAGTAACTATGTAGCTTTCTATGCATTTATATGACAGATCAATTCTAATTCCTTCATTTGAGTTGAATGTTTTCCCAGATTTCCTTTGCTTCCTGACTGAAACTATGCACTAATGATTGTCTTTCACTTTTGCCTCCTAAATTCCGCTCCTCTTAATGTAAGTAACCTACTGTCCAAAAAAAAAAAAAGGGGGCAATAACCCAAGCAGTAAAGAATGCTGTTTTCTCTCCCCCACTACTCAGGGGATAATTTTTTATTTCAATCACATGCATACTTCTTGCCCTGTTTTCTAACTGCACATGGGTATGTCTCCTGTCTGCTGAGCCTTGCTGTGCTTGCTATGTGTAGTTTGTAGCATTTATGGAAATACTGGCATGGATTTGTGAAGTTTAAGAAGCCTTTGATTACACTTGTATTGACTCCTAGTATAATTTAGTGCATTTTATTATTGTAATACCGTACCACAACTCTTACCTTTGTATAATTTTAAAGTTCCTTTGTGTTAAAGGATCAATTGTAACAATTATCCAGAAGTAATTGTGTTAAATTTGGATAGTTTGAAATCCCATATTGTTAGAGATATTGTTAATATTCTATTCAATTAAAGTGAAGTTCTGCAGGGACGGGGAACCCAACACTAAGGGACCCCGACAGGGCTCTAGAAGAGGCAGCAGGCTGCACAGCTGCTAAGCACCTTAAGCAAACTGGATAGCATTACAGTTTTCAAAGAGCTGTATATGCTCTCTCAATTGTGCGTGGTCCCATGATGGTCCCAAAGCTTGCTAACCCATGATGAATGGTGATGGTCTGTAAACAAAGAAAAATGGTGTCCCAGTATGAATGGCTAGATGAGAACCATACCAACCTATTTCACTCAAGATAGTGAAAACCCCCTTCAACACATGATCTGAATCAGGTAGAGAGGGAGAGCCAATGATGATCAAATTTGTGAGGCTCAAGAAACACTGTGGGATTGTTGCTAGCAAATTCAAGAACTCAGGTAAATGTGATCCCTTGCATGAGTCACAATGGGGCAACTCTCGGCAAAGGGAAGCCAGGTGAAATGAATTTCCCAACTAACTCTTGGCATTGTGATCACTAGTGAAGGGAAAGCAGCAATATGGCAAAAACCCGGTGGTGATGGTGGATGAGATCATCTGCTCCAGTCCCCCGAAATTCCGCTTCCCTGAAGCTGGCTTACGAATAATGATTACAAATAAATTTGGACCCAGAACCAGACTGCGGATGGCAAGCAGGCTTATTATTAACGAGGTAAGTTCACTAAGAGAATAACAAATGAGTGCTTTGAAGGGGGTTTGCCAAAGGACCACTTTCCCACTCAGTGTTCTTTTATAGAGATGCTTTTGGTGTTGGAATCACAGGTTGATTCTCCAACTCAGCTCCTAGGGCAGCGGAGACTTAAGGCACTTTCTAGTGACTATACTGATTGGTGCCTAGGACAGGATGATAGGCGTCATACCTTTTCCCTGAAGGGTAGGTTACTATGGAAGGGGGGCCCTTGAAGGTACAAGGGGAGTAAAGATTAAGAAGCTCCTCTTGCTAGAAGAAGATGGATTTTTTTCGTTTAGCCACTGGAATTGCATTTGAGCACTTATAAGAGTAGTGAACTGAGGGAAGATAACATAATAGATAAATCAACCATAGGATCTTATTAGTTATTTTAATAGTTGGACAGAGCTTCAAATCACATCAGACATTTGCCTAATGTGTTTAACCTTTATAGTCCTGAGTTATATACAACAAAGGGGAAAGCAGATCAAACTTTTCACAAGGGACGTTTTCTTCAGACAGGCTCAGATTAGCCCTCAGTGAACATGTTGTCACCACGAGAGCCTGTCTTTCACATAACCCTGCAACAAAAGTCCTGAGAATGGTCAAACAACAAGGTCCTGAGCTTAAATGAAGTCCATGGCAAAACCCCATTGACTTCAGTGGAGCTAGGATTTCATCCTTTGTTTCTGAGTAACATGAAGTCCAAGCGAAGGGCTTTTTATTTTGGGATTTACAAGTATAGGAAAAATAGGTTCTTGCAAGTTCCAATAACATAGAGGAGATAACACAGCTCCCAGGACTATAGCACACTGTGAACAGTCCATGGCAGTTTAGCAGAAATTCCGCATGTTTGGGGTCGGGGGGGAAATCCAACTAACAACCATAAACAAATATGTTTTTAGAAAGTGAGCTCTGTGGTGCAGTACAAGGAGTGGGAGAAGTTCAGCTAAACCACTTAGCAGCAACTGGGTTGCTTTCCAGCCAATTAGCTGATCCATAAGAAAGTATTTTTGAGTAGTGAAATGGCCAGAAAGCTGGCATTTTTAGTTTGCAAAACTAAACCCCAAACCAGAAGTGGTTTGGATGTGGGTTCCACTGTATGCAAACCACCAAAGTTTGGCAACGTATTGTGGATTTGAGTTCTCTCTATTTTCAATTCCCTTTTCAGTTACATTAGGCTTAGAATTGTTTCAGATGCTGGCAGCACCTTTCATGTTCAAGGTATTGTAAAGCACTTTCAAGTAAGTTGGAACAGCTGCCATTAAAAAAGACAGCACTTGCCAATAGTTATTGCATCATTCCACCTAAGATAGCACAGCTCATGCCTTTCCGAAATGTATGAAATTAGTGCAGTGTCCCAGCTCTCATTATGTGGTGAATATTTATTTGGAATAGCAACCATTGTAGCTACTGTAGTGCAATGAGCATAGCAACATGTGCGCCATAAAAGCAATGGACAACCCTCATGTTTAATCAGACCAGGGATGCTGCAGGGCTAATCCTCACCCTTTTTGAAAAGTGTCACAGGATCTTTAAATTCTACCTGGGGGGACTGGCTGGGGAAGGAATTGAAGCGGGGCAGAAGTGACCTCAGTTAATGTTTCATCTGAAGGACAGCACCTCAGTGCAGCAGTCCCGGGAGTACAGCACTGCAGCATCACCACTGGGTATGAGCCCAACTTCTGGCTTGAGGCCTGAAGACATAGGTGAGAAATGCTTCCAAATGAGCTATGTTCATTACTCTGTGCTAAAATAGGATTCATTTGAGAATTTGATCCGGGCCTCCAAGGTGGTAGGGGTTGAAAGAACAGAACTGACCAGGTGAACAAGATTAGCAAAGTTAAGAGTTTTTCAAAGATTACTTTGGTTTTTTGGTCTGTGTTCCTGTGCAGCGTCAGCGACTGATCCACTCTGCCAATGGCACAAGCAAAACGCTTCACAATGGGAAACATGAAAATATTGAAAACGGGAACATCATTGTGGAAAATCAAGAGGAGGAGAATGAGCATGAAAACGCGTCTCCCTTTTCAGCACCAGGTAGGTTTGATCTTCAAGAGAATGAGGATGCTAAACAATGAACAACAAAATGGAATTAAAATGCCAAAAAATGGGTTGTAGAGACAATCAAGAGTCAGGTGGAACTATGCAATTGATTTGAAATTGTTTTGCTAGGGTTGAATGACAATAAAACCCAACTGGAGGTCACATTAAATGAAAACGGGCCATTGTTAGGTTCAGGCCTTTGATTTCCAATTGCCATGTGCAGAAGTGGTGAAGGTGCTGCTTGAGTGGAGATCTCGGGTAAGAACTCAAGACTGATCTGGAGTTCTCCAGGGTTGGGCTGGATGTATAATTGTGGTTGTTGGAAGAGGGGACTAAATACATAACCTGCATAGATCAATCTAATCAGCACACCCCCAATAATAGCCTTGGATTAATTATTTACATTGGCCTCCTGATGAAAGGTAAGCTGGTGCACACATGTATGTTAAAGACAGGGCAGAAAGCCTTCTTGGAGGAGAAGGAATTAAAAAGGAGGTTCAGAATAACCAGGGCCGGCTCCAGTATTTCTGCCGCCCCAAGCAAAAAAAAAAAAAGCTGTGATTGGCGGCGGCAGGTCCTTCGCTCCTAGAGGGAGCGAGGGACCTGCCGCCCCCGAATTGCCGCACATGTTGCCCCTCTCCCTTGGCCGCCCCAAGCACCTGCTTCTTAAGCTGGTGCCTGGAGCCGGCCCTGAGAATAACAAGTGGAAACACAGGCCCTCATGGTTATATACATGTTTGGTTCTCATATGTAAAAAGTGACTTATACTACCCACTTTTTGAAACCACTTTGAAATCCTCTGATGAAAGGGGCTATATACAGGAAAAGTGTTATCATGATGATTTACATAGTACTTTATATGTTGATTCTGTTGATTCATTTCAAAATGCTCTACAGATCATATAGCAGGGATTAATTCGCCTGCCACTGAAATGTAGCCACATCTGGGGTGATACACAACAGCTGTTTAACAGCTGTGGAGGAAAAATGGACTAAGGCCTAAACTTTGGTCAAGTGAACTGTATGTATGTTCAGGTGAACTGTATGTGTGGCATGGAGGAAGGAGAAAAGGGGGGGAGGGATAAAAGGAGAAGGTAGACAGAAATCATAAAAGCAGAACTAACTGTAGAAATTATAAAAGTAGAATTAACCTTGTAACAGACTATGATTGATAGATGTCAGGTGACAGAGCAAGAAACCGCAAAGGGCAAACTAAGAATAACAGGAAAGCTTGCTATGCTATATTCCCTTTTATGGATATTGTATTCCAAATATGGCAATAATGTTGATAAGAAAGTATGTATTACTAATTGTGGTTTTGTCCTATATAAGCTCCCGTATTTTATCTGTCGGGGGGGTTCGGCTGCCTTGGCTGACTCACCCATGCATGCATGTTTGATTGATCAATAAAGGAGCCTCAGGCTGTTTGATCCAAAATCAACTGTGTGGTCAATTTTCCACAACACAGCAGAAAAAAACATTTCTATACAGTGAAAAATAATGCCAACTCCTGTTGAAACTGAAGGAGGAATTTTAGATGTGAGCATTAAAGAGTTGAGAATGCTCTTTGATTTCTGTGAGACCCCATTTCTAAAATGTTAATGATCAAAGCAGAAATGCTGTTGATTTTAGGAAATACTGGAGCCCACTGAAAGAGATGATGTGTGAAGAAAGATTGGTTGAAACTATATATTTTCACATTTATTGCAGTGTGCACTATTATTGGAACTGATAGTGTGCACTATTATTGGAACCCATTATGTAATAAATACCTGTTCTCCCGTGAAGATAAAACGTCGTAGACAGCTGATCTGCTAAAGAAACGCACCTGTTAGATGGATTGATGGCAACAAACGAGTGCATTTATACAGAGTGTTTTTTTTACTGTTTGTACAGCAGAATAAATTGAACTTATTTACACATATGGACGCACATGACCATGCTAATGTGACAATTTAAAATCACTGTGAACTTAAACAGATAATTATAAACACAAGCGTGAATGGTCATGTTTGTAAAGATAATTCTTCTTCGAGTGATTGTTCACGTCCATTACACATTAGGTGTACGCGCGCCGCGTGCACGGACGTCGTGACCTTTTGCCCTTAGCGGCTCCCGTCGGGCCGGCAGGTCCCCCTCCTTCCCGCCAGAGCGGCGCCCCGCTCCAGGGTATATATATCCCTGCCGACCCGACCCCTCCGGTTCCTTCTTGCCGGAGACTCCGACAGAGGGGAAGGAGGGTGGGAAGTGTAAT